GTCAACATTCTGATATACGGGATGATGCAGAACAAAATGGATAACCCGACTACCTGCTTGGTTGTGTTTGAGTCCACCTCTACAATAAAGGTCTCTTTTACTTCAAGGTTAAGGTAGGAGTTAAGGAAGCTACATGGGTTGGGTGCCAAGATAATTGGATTGACTACGACTAAATTTGTGATGACAAGGGATTTTGTTAGTCAACAAAATGGCAGATAAGGATGAGAAAATCCTACCAACGTGTCCCTTAGTTACAACGGAAGAGCTCATTGAGACCCTGAGTGGGCAGATTATGGATCCGTCTAGCGCTCTCGGACTCGAGATTTTTTACTTTGATAAAAAAATGGTTTGTTAATAGCTTGTGTTGATTGAGCAATTCACTACCGGATCACCAACCGCTGAAAGGTTTGATCGGATGAAGAGATGGGTGTCGTGGGATACCAAACTTGAAGTGGTGAGGATAGTAGATGGAGCCAAGAGAAATTGGGAATAATTTAAGAAAGAGATGTGAAGGAGATACAAGCCTGGAGACGATCTCCACATAGCACAAGATCAAGGAACAACCTCAAGGATTAGTGATAGACCTAAGGTTGAAAAGGATAAAGTTGGTGAGATCATATATCAAAAGGTATCACTGTTTGTTTGGGGACTGACTACTTATCTAATGGATGAGGCCGAGGATGCCAAGATTGGGGCTTTTATGTTTCAAGGAGAGAATGTAACGGATTTCTAACATGATTTTCGTGACCTCGACAATGATAATGGGTTGAGCAAAAATATAATATTGCGTATATATTATCAATATTCATTTACAAGAGTTACAGAAGAAAGTGCGCACCCTTATGCTGAGACTATCAACGTAAAGTGAACCTAAGGGGCTTATGCACTCGAGGTTTCCCCTGACCGGGAACTTTAATCGGGGCAATTACCCATCCGAGTTTGAAAACGCAATAAACCAAACAACATCTTGAGTTAGCGTGAGAAACAGGGGGAGGGGATAAATCTCTAAATCGCTTGACTTGCCTTTTTCAAGTGCAACAATAATTTTAAATCGCTTGAGGACTGAGAGTGCTCACCTTGAATTTGAGAGGACTCACCTTTATTACCTTCATCAAAACTCAGACGTATATGCTTACCATGTCATGTGCTTCTGACTCAATTCAATTGATCCCCGGATGGAGAGGGGTTGGTTGAGGCTGGTCGCTGAGACAAAGGTGATGCATGGACATTGGCTGGACGTACTTGAGCAGTTGGATGATTATTGGTCATCGGTCGACTGACGGTCTTCCCTGGTGGTGGAGCGGTATCGAAGCAAGACCTCTCCAACTTCTGTGATCAGGAAGAAAACCGTTGAAGGATCTTGATGAAGAGGGGGGAAGCGAAAATGATGAAATGCTGAGTTGGATGGCGACAAATGATGCAAGTAGGCGGAGTGACCATTCCATAAATATTGATGAACATGATTTCAATTAGCACCATTAGGATCGAACATAAGTGGAAAAAAGTTACCCTGACCAGGACCGATCCTTGGGGATACAAGCGGATTGAAATAGATATTACCGTATGATTGAATACCTCCTTGTTGCACTTGCGAAGTACTACCCTGCACATTCGATGCTAGTGATTGAGGAGGTGGGCCAAGTGGACCTTGGTAGCAAGGAACAAATGACAGAACTTGCTCTCGAGCGTTCATTCCTCACCCATGAGCATTACCACCTACCGTGACATCCTGCGTCCGTTGATTGCCTCTTCTGCATTCATTCTCTAGGTGGAAAAACACTCTCCAGTGACGAAATCTAGGCGTGTCAACTGAGGTTAGCGTCACTTCCAAAGAATCCCCTGCGAAGGTATCAATCCATATCTTATGCTTCATATTCGGTGTGCATGTCGGATTCAGACCAAACTTTATGTTTATTAGTGAAGGCTTCATCTGATCTGGTTCAACCGGATGAGTAAGCAAATCTTGGTTGATCGCTCTTCTCACATGACTTTCCATGTAGATCATGGCGTCAAAAGGAACCTAAACAACAATCACCAAAAAGGTAGCCTCGTCTTCCTCCCTACGTTGGGATCTCAACTGAGTCTTTCTAAGCCACGGTTTGAACTCTAGAGCGTAAGGCATGCTGACCAGAGTAACATTCTCACTCCCTTTGCTGATCAACCACTCTACCACCTCAATACTCTTGGCTACGTAAAAAAACACATTCAGACTTTCTGTTTTCACCCTTCCTCTCCAAAAAACAGTTGGATCAAACGTTTCGTTATTTGTCTTCCAATCTTCATAAGCTCGAACAATATCGTCTTTGATCTTGCATGATAAGAATCTTGTACCTTCTTTGAAGATGGACGTGACAATGTGATGCTTCAACCATGTGACATTGGCTTGATCTATGTTCGAGTTCCGCTTGAAACAATTTTTTTTCCCATCCATCGACATTTTTCCTGAATCGATGTTTGATGGGATGATTCCCTCTTCATAACAGAGCCGAATCATCTCCCTTACTCTAACGTTTTCCTCGTTCGCTCCATCTGGATTAGAGGATGAAGAATGTGCTTCCCTGACTCTCGCCACCTCTTCTTCTCAAGAGACTTCCGTAGTACTCCGACAACCAATATCCCAACTTACTACATCAGTTACTGCAAGGAAAGGTGTGTAATCGATATCTTGTATAAACACTCTTGCGTATATTCTGTGATGAAATAAAGTGTAGCTACATAAAATGATACTTTAGCTCAAGCTTGTCCACCGGTCCAGTGAGTATTCAACATTTGTGATGAAGCACCGGGTAGCAATGAAAAACTTTACTCTTAACATTTTCCTGAGGAATATGAAATAACTTGGCAACCTCACGCGTGCGATAGCCCTCCTGAACCATGACGATAAGGTTCGTCACATGAACGCTCATGTATTCCACAGCAAGAGGAGTGAAAAAAAACTAGTGAAATCCTATCAGGTAAACTAGTGAACCAGTGAGTTAGCAACAAGTCTTGAGGATGAGAAAAGTAGCATATTACAGATTTGAGGATAAAAATTAGAAGAAGAAGATTTGAGCGTGTAAAGGAAAAAACGAGGAGGGCGGGGTTAAAAAGGGGAACAACTATGCGTGAACAATCTTGACGTGGGAAATGGAAAAGCTCTTAGACTACTCCTATCATTTTCCTGAACCCAAATCTTGGAAACAAAGCTACGTGGGAGGATATTATGAAACATGAAACTAAAGATTAAAAAGAGAAATCCCACTGAAGCTCATAACATTCTGAAAAAGGAGGAAGGGGACAATCCTAGTGGTACCTTAGTGGATAATACGACGAATCAGGGGGAAAAGGCAAGACATGAAGGTGAAAATGTAGCATATTACAGACATGGGGATAAAGGTGAAAAAGAGATGATTTAAGCGTGTAGAGAATAAACAAGGGGGTAGGGGTAGTAGAAAGGTGAGTGACTATGAGTGAGGAATCGTAACGTAAAAAGAGGAACACTAAATGCACAAGGGGGTTGGAAAACCACTTTACTGGATAACTAAGAAACGACGACTATAAAACGTTTAGGGTCGTCCCAGACGTGCACTATGGAGTCTAAAAAACTGAGAAGACACCTTGACGTGACGAGGAAGCGAGGCGTATTAATTGATGTCCCGAAGGACGCCCGTTAATTGGAACGATACAGAGAGGAAGTCGGATGACAAGCCTGCTGGTTCGCTTCCGCCAGCGCTAACGCAACTCTCGGACCAGGCGAGAACGGACGGTAATGTACAGTACGTGCAATCGCAGCACCTACCACCACGATAGATGTGCGATGGATATGGCATAGCCCTTGCACAAGGATGACACACATAAATTGAGAAATGGTCTAATTTTAACGGATGTCATGGTCCCGAAGACTCAGCTCATTGGGCCTCGCTGCACTACTCTCTAAATGCACAAAATGAGAATGAATCTTCCACTAGAATATGGAAAGATACACTGCCATTTTTTTTTATTTTTTTTAAGTAAGCTATATTCTTATCTCATCTATATCATCTTCTTGTCAATACTCATCTATCTCATCCTCTCGCTAATCTATGCATAGTAAGGGGGAACACCAACCAACCCGGATCCTCTCCCTAGCCCACGGGGTAGGTTGGCACCCCAGCAGTGGTGCAAGAGCAAGGGTGTACCTCCCTCATCACGGTGATGAGGGGTGGGCAGGCATTGCCGATGGTGGAAATCGGCGGTGCTAGCGCCGAGCAATGGCCAGTCACTGCACCTCCCCCTCCCCCTCCCCCCCCTGCAACTCCACATGGAGGTGTCTAATGGCCAATATTGTCGCTGCATAGCAACCAACACCATCAGCCAAGGTCCTGCCAACGCTGGCTTGGGGGACCAACGGGTTATCTCTAGCTGGTAGAACACCAAGCTTGCCCAGGCTCGTATGTGAGGGCAATGGGGATTGAACCCATGATCTCCTGAATGCAACTTCTGTGCCTTACCAAACTGAGCTGCTCCGCCATAGTTTTTGTGTTTTGTGTATGTGGAGGGTAGCGCAGCGAGGCCCATTTTATTACCAGAAAAAGTGAGGCTCGTTGGTTCATGGTCTGCTTTACCAAAGACATTCAGTTGTTTGTCCAGTTTACGTTCCCCCGGAGCACATCCGGGGGCAAGGTCCCACTTGCGCAAATTAGGAGATTCTGGCCGTTGATCTTTGCTATCTACGGTCAGTATCTCTTAATTCGTGCAAGTGGGACCTAGCCCCGGCAGAGGGGGTAGTAGGGAAAACGGTGCGGTGTTTGCTTGGGACGCGGGCAGAGCTGCGAACGAGGCCGATGTGCGATGGAGATGGGAGGGTAGGTAGGTTCGGTGTGCGGCGCTCGCAGAGCGATAGGACCGATGGATGTGCGACGGAGGTAGGGCATTTGAGCGATAGGACCGGCCGCTGTGCGACGGAGGTTTGACGGCAGGGCCTGTGTGCGCCGCGCGCAGAGCGATAGGACCGATCGGTACGCTTCGGCGGTCCCGTGGGCGGTATTGTGTGTGCCTGCAGCTTTGCATGCATAGTGGTGATCCATTTTTTCAATCTCAGAGCCGTTGCCTTAGTTTGACGGCGGCGTCGCACACGGTTCCGACCCCAGTTGTCGTTGTTAGCGATCAGTTGTTGAACACACGCCGAGGAGGAAGAAAGGGAAAAGGGTGGGAGGAGAGAGGAGAGAGAGGAGGCAGAGTGTGAGGGTGAGAACGGAGGAGGGAACTAATCATGCGTTTAGGAACGCGGAAGGGCAGATAGGGGTGGAGGAAAGACGAAGGAAGAAAAGGAGGAGGGGGGTGTACAGAACCCGGAGGTGAAGAAATGAGGAGGAGGAGAGATTGATAAGAAGGTGGGAAAGGAGGAAGAAGAGAAGTGGAACGAAAAAAAAGGAGGAGGAGAAGAAAGAAAAGAAAGAAGAGGGCGGGGCCCGAGGGGAAGAAGAAGAAGAAGAAGAAGAAGAAGAAGAAGAAGAAGAAGAAGAAAGAAAGAAAGAAAGTGGCTATGGCTGCCGCGCCGCCATTTGACCTTAATCTGGTAGAGACGCCGTCCTGGGGCGCGCGGAGTGTGGAATGTTTCGAGAAGCTGGATCAAATTGGGGAGGGCACATATGGGTGAGTCGTAGAGCATACGCACACTACCGTAGGACTTTGCTGATTGTTGCAGTCGCAGTAATTCACCACAAGTGAAAAGTTTGAGTACATAGCCTTCTACTGCTTACATAGGTAGCATACATAGCCTTATACTGCTTACATAGGTAGCAGTAAGAAGGGTAGGGAACTCTGCAGGTTGATTGTCGAGCGTTCAAACCCTCCTGACGAGCTGAGGGGAGTGAAGCAAATCACACACAAATTGTCACAGCTTGCCTTGCCTTTGTGTGGGTAGTATATTCTACCTCGCTGTCCTATTCCTCCTCCTCCTCCTCCTCCTCCCCTCCTTTTCTATTTGCTGCTGCTGCTGCTGCTGCTGTGGCTGTCGCTGTGTCCTTTGTCCTGTCATCCTCTCTCTCTCTCTCTCTCTCTCTCTCTCTCTCTCTCTCTCTCTCTNTCTCTCTCTCTCTCTCTCTCTCTCTCTCTCTCTCTCTCTCTCTCTCTCTCTCTCTCTCTCTCTCTCTCTCTCTCTCTCTCCCTCTTTCTCTCTCTTTTCTTCAGTCACCGAGGTTTAGTTTTTTCTCTTTAATTACGAATCTATCTTCATCTCCAGCCGCTGCTGCCCTCTCTCTCTGTCTCTCTCTCTCGCTCTGTATTTCCCTTTGCCTCTCCCTCCTTCCCTCCCTCTCTCACTTTCTTGTCTTTCATCTTTACCCGCCAAAGAACAAAAGAAAGGGAATATGCCTTTATATTAAGAGGATTTTGTACTTCTTGACTGCGAGGGTTTCCACCAGCAATCAACTGTTCCAGGGGTTAGCCGTTGGACGACTATAGCTGCTCCCTCCCTCCCTCCCTCCCTCCCACCCCCGCAACGTGATGCCCCAGCATGGTATTTGCACCGGAAGTGGATTTGTATTCGTTCATGATGATGGGGCGTTATGTTCGGGTGAAGAAGGTAGCTAGATTTTCAATCAATCAGTCAATCAATCAATCAATCAATCAGTCAATCAATCAATCAATCAATCAATCAATCAATCAATCAATCAATCTGTTGATTGTCTTAGATAGAACAAATTAGACACCCGCCGCTTCGTCTCTTAATGGGGCGTACGCAATCACAGGAGGGCTTCACTGCATGCATCTAACTGTAATCATAGCCAGATTCACTTGAAAAAATCTCACTCTGTATGTGCGCTTGTCCTCCCTCCCTCTCTCCCATTCCTCCCTCCACCCTGTTCTCTCTTCTTCTCCCGCCATGCCGCCTTAGTCTGCATAACACCTCCTTTCTCCCAATCTCCATGTCTGGACTTCCCCCTCCCCCCCCATTTCTAGACTTTTTCAAGCCTCAGTCGCTGGAAAATGCTAAAGAGAAATTCGAGAGGAATCCAAGATGCAGACCACTCCCCTTTTTGTAAAACATAAAAAAAAAAAAAAGGTTCGGAAGGTCATCAGTGAGGGACGTGGAAAGAATTTTCTGGGAGAAAAAAAGGAAATAGAGGGGACAAGAAAAGGGAGGAAAAGACAAAAAATTGAAAAAAAATAAATAAATAAGAAAAGTGGATAAACAATTCTCCCCCGAAATCCCCCCTACGAGATCGAAAAAACAGCACTGTGCAATCTTCCCCCGAAAAAAAAAAGAAAAAAAGAAAAACAGAAAAAAAGAATAACCAAAAAAGAAAAAAAAGAAAAAAAGAAAAAAAAAAGGAAGAAAGAAAGCATAGCACCCGGGAGCCCGGATTACCGACCCTGCGACCGAGGCCTACTTTAGGAACACCTCCTCCATCCTGTTGGGTGCGGCGCGCAGGTTCGAGATCCAGCTCGGGAGGGTATTTTGGTAAATTGGCCAAAAGTTCAAATTTCACCAAAATACCCTTCGGAACCAGATCACTATTTTGGTGATGAAATTTGAAATTTGACCGTTTGAACCCAGGTAGTGGTCTGAAGCTGTGCTTGCTGCAGCACTATATCGGGATCGGGATCCTCGGTACAAATCGCAGCTGGCTAAGCCTGTTGCCGCCGAGAGCCCAAACGGCACTCCCAAGGTTCTCTTGACTGATCCTTCGAGTGATTCTAATTTGAGGAACGGCACTGAACAATGTTCAGGTTCAGGAACAGGTTCGGAAACGTGTCGGGGAATTCAAACAGTTTGAATTTTGTTTTAATTAATTAATTAATTAATTAATTATTTAGTTATTTATTTGAATAAAATTGTATTGCCAACTTGCAAGAAGTTGTTCGAAGGTGCTTGCTCGTCCGTAGATCAAACTGTGTGAAGGTGCTTGCTCGTCCGTAGATCGGAATCCCGATCCCTCCCGGTAAGCCCTGCGCAACTCTGTTCACCTCCCGTTTCCTCTCCCCGCCTCCTCCTCCCCCTCCCCCAAAGACCGAAAAAAAGGCCCATTTTGTTTTTCTCTTTTAAAACTTCGAATCATCGCCCTCAGATTGTGCAGCGTGTTTATGTTTTTTTTTTATGCACGAAAATTTTTATTTTTTTTATTTTTTTTTAAGTCCGATCTTACATTTTTTTCTCACTTCTAACGCTTGCTGATGGCTTTGGCAGAAAGCGGCACCTCTTGGTTATTTTTCACTCTCTCTATCTCTCTCTTACAGTGGGCAACTCTGTTTGACGATATATGTGTATGTATATCGTCAAACAGAACTGCTCTGTACATAGAACTGCAGAGAGAGGGAGGGAGAAGAGGACAACAAACGAGGGGCTGGGACAGACATGTGTTTCGTCAGAGTTTAAGCCTCGGTGAAACTCATACAGTATATATTAAATATATTAATGATATTAAATATTTTATTATATAATATTTATATATATATTATGACGATATATATTATATATATATATGCACAGCCCCTCGTTTGTTGTCCTCTTCTCTCTCTCTGCCTACGGTTTACCGGGCAGTTCTGTTTGTGACGATATATGTATGTATATATATATCATATATGTATCCGGTTCACGGGGCAGTTTACCGTACGCAGAGAGGGAGACGAGGACAGCAAACGAACGGCTGTGAAAGACAGACTGTTTGGTCGGACTTTCACCGAGGAAGGGCTCATCAGGAGGCTGAACCCTGTACGGTGTGCAGAGTCCCTTAACCCCCGGATGATGATACTGCAAGTGATAATCCACCTAAACCCCGGATGCGGTTTAGCATCAAAGACTGACCCTCTACAACGGATAGCCCTCCTATGTGGTGGGGACCACCAACCACTCTCCTCAAGGTAGCTTTGACAAAAGTCAAAGAAGAGTATCACTCACCCACACCAGGCGATATATATATATGTCACAGCCCCTCGTTTGTTGTCCTCTTCTCCTTCTCTGCCAACGGTTTACCGGGCAGTTCTGTTTGACGATGATATATATATAGTTGTAAGGAAGAAGATTAAAAACGAATTTAAGATTTTTTTGTTTTTTTGGTTTTTTCGCTTAGGCGCTCTGATATCATGTGACAATATATATATCCGACGAAACAGTTTGTCACAGCCCCTCGTTTGTTGTCCTCTTCTCCCTCTCTGCCTACGGTTTACCGGGCAGTTCTGTTTGTGACGATATATATACTACATCCACGTGGGCGGCCTTGTACGCAAGAGGTTCTGAACAGGGGGAGTTGTAAGGAAGAAGATTAAAAACGAATTTAAGATTTTTTTGTTTTTTTGGTTTTTTCGCTTAGGCGCTCTGATATCATGTGACACGTTTGTTGTCCTCTTCTCTCTCTCTGCCTACGGTTTACCGGGCAGTTCTGTTTGTGACGATATATATATGGTTCGTGCTAGCCGTCCTGCTGAATGCTGTGCTCGCGCAGCTCTCCTTGGGCATCCTTGTGAACATCCACATCATCCTCACCGTAGCTGTCCTATCTGCCGAGGTGGGGACAGGTAAAGAAAAAAAGAAGAAAAGAAAAAGAGAAAAAAAGAGAAAAAAAGAGAAAAAAAGAAAAAGAAAAAAAAAGACAAAAAGAAAAAAGAAAAAAGAAAAGATATGTTGATCTGTGGGATGTGTTATTTGCTTTGTGACAATTGGATTATCTTTCTTTCCCTGTCAGGTTTGGTTTCCTCCTCCTTTTMTTTACRTCTTTGCCTTTTGGCTGCGTGCAAGTGGGTCCTTGTGACACACGGGGATGGGGGCAGCCAACGCTCAACCTGTCATCCACGTGGCTGGCCTTGTACGTAGGAGGTGATGAACAGGTGGGGCTTTCCTTCCTGACTTTTTTTCTTTCCGTTCCTTGTTTTGCTTTTTTCCGCCTTTGCGCTCCGATTCACAGTGTGACAATATATATTATATATGCATATTCTTCGTCAGGAGGATCTTTGGCAGTTTGTGATCAGTAATAAAGAAAAAGAAATTTGTGATAAAAGTTCATAAAACCTTTTCTTTTGCACCGCTATTGTTGTTCTTTAGAACTATTATTAACCACCTCACCTAATAAATATTAAATAGTAATAATGCTATGTCGTTTCACGATTATTATTTTTTTTTTTTGATTTTGTTCGTTAGAGAAAAGTATTCGCCCACCTGATGAGTCAGAGAGCGGCCTGCAAAACAGCCCCCTCCCTCTCTTTGGTCTCATCATAGAAAAGAAAAAGGAAAATTTCTACAGTTGCTATATTTAGTGTATCTATTAAAAATTAAAAATTCTATTTATAATTTTATAGTATGAGTAGCACTTTTTCATGACCCGGGAAC